ACTCGACCGAGACATTGTTAAGACTGAACTGTGTGGAAAATTTCATCGCGATTGGACTCTCCTTTCAAAAGTTATCGTGTAAACGGACGGATGGCCGGACACACTGACCGATTCTAGAGTGTACTCACTTTTTGAGTACACAAAAAGTAGATTTTTCTAATTTATGTTCGATTTATCATCGTCAAAACACATCATAGTGTGATTGAGTTTCAAGGAAGAAGATCACCGATGCGGTTCCTTTCCTATTTGGTCATGATTAGTCATTTAAAAAATTCATTCTCGCATAGTCCTTTGTAGAATAAAACTCATACAATAATACGACTTAAATAAATTAGTGTCTTAGCGATCATTGTTACGATAGGCAGATTAAATATGAAGAGTGAACAGCAAGTAACACGCTATTTCCAACTATGTATCGTACTGCATTTGTACTTAGTTATCAAGGCTTATAATTAGAAACTCAATGCGAGAAAGTTTGCTAACTTTTTTATTGATCTTATTATTTTGTTTTATATTAAATAAAATTATGAATTATGGTTATTGATAACGTTAGGATCGAAACTGACAAATCATCGAATAAGACTGACTCAGGAAATAAATCAGTTGAACGTAATATTTCTAATAATTAAGATCTCATCAAAATCAAACATCTGCTTAGATGCAGACTTTTCACTTTTTTAAAATTTATTATAAAATGCTTTTGTTTTGTTTTGTAATTAGATTTATTTATTCGTTCAGCGCATACCTTAGTCGGTAATAAGTATTCTTCTTCATCTTCTTTGGTTTGTTTTGATGTTAATTTGATTTCATCGATATTCTTCATTTTATCAATTCGTTCTCGAATGATTTTTTCTCTTTCCTATCGAATATACAGAAAAAAAAAAGATCATTGATAAAAAAGAAAAAAATAATATTTAAAATATACATTATTTTCTTCGAGTGCTTGTTTAATAAAACAAGCTTCTGGTTGATCTCCATCGTCTTCTAATTGTTTTAATAATTCATATTTTTCTTTTTCAACTATTTCACTTAAAATTGTTTCATCATCAGCTGATAATAAATGTGCATATTGTTGTGTATTTATTTCTGTTAAAAGATGTTCAGGTTCATGTTTTAATTGAATATTATCAAAATCTTTTTTTGGATGAAAAATAACAGAACCACGTTCTCGACACATTAAACGAAATGTAATCCAATCGCCTGGTTTTAAACAACGAGAAACTATTCCACGAACACTAAAATTATCAAAAGAAAAAAAAAACAAACAATTTTTCTTTTTTTATTTCGAAAATTTAATTTTAAAAACCTTCGAATATCTTGTTTATAAATTGATTCTGAACAAACAGGACATTTTCTCCAAGCTTTATCACTTAATGCTAAATAATGTAATAAACATGACCAACAATAAACATGTCCACAACGTGTAATTTTTCCTGCTTGTGGTTCCGATAAGCAAATAGGACATTTGAGTGCATGCATTGAATGTAAACGAATTTGTTCAACACGTGACCAATCAATAGCTACATCTGGATTAGCAAAATGAATTGAATAATCAATTAAACCTGCTTGAACAATAAATTGACAACTAAAAGTTTTGTTTTGAAAGACAAAAGAATTTTCTAATTTTTTTTTTTCAATTTACTTTGCTTGAAGAAATTGTTCTTTAGAAAAAGATTGTCTATTTGTTGAATTTCCATTCGATGACCATTTATTATTTAAATAATAATTTGAATTAAATGATCGACGATTACCACGTACATTAACCCGTTGTTTATCAATATAATGAAAATTAAGTAAATGACTCATATTTGTCTTTTTTGCACTACTACAACCACGTTTATTTTGATATGGATCATCACAATCAAAGTCTTCATTTGTACAATCATCAGGATTTTCATCATCCACACCAACCAGATCAAAATTATCGTTTCTTTCAGTCTATAAATATTTATTAATAGAAAAGAAATCATTTGAAATTTTAAAGAAAATTCGAGATTAATCAATTTGTTTTGTTCTTTCGCGTAAAGTACCAAGGAAAAAAAAAATGTTTCTATTTGATGTTTAGATTACTTTTTTAATTGTATTGCTGTTTCAATCGTCAGTGATTCGATAAGAGAAGTAATCAGTGAACTCAATAACTTTATATCTTTGAAATTATTGTATTCTATAAGATTCATAAAATCTTGTCAGAACTGTTATTCTTAGTTTTTGATTAGATTTCAAATAACTATTTAGATGATTAGTATTTATCAATAAAAAAATTTTGTAAGAGTATTCTAAAATAAATTAATATCTCACTCGATGAATATTGTTATGTCCCTCATTTCGATATTTTGAATTACCACCACCTCGTTGTGCTCGACTATTATTATTATTTGCTCGATATTGTTTTTGTTGTTGAATTTCTTTATTATATCCACGTGAATTTGATTTATTATATTTTGGTGAAGCAGTTAAATCGCCACCACTTACTAAATTCGAAATATAACAAAAAGTATGTACTTTGAAAATTGTTTTTCTTTTTTACCATTGTTATTAGCCCTTTTTCGACTCGCAATATTGTTATTATTTGCTCCACTGGCTCCTCCTCCATTAAATTGTCGTTGTTCATTACTGTTATTAATATTGTCAACCATTTGTCTCGTATCCAAATATTTGGTTTTGTTGTGAGATAAATTATTTTCGGGTTTTTCTCCCTGTTCTTGATGCTTAAGGATTGATTGTTGTTTTTGTTGTCGCTGAATGCTTTCGTAATTTTCGTAATCATAGTTTTTTTCACAAGTTTTTTCCGGCCATAATGATAAAAATGATGAATTTAATGAATTGTTTTGATGATCGTTGGTGTGGATTAAATTATTTGAAATTGTATACGACGACAGAGTGAAAAAATAACCTTCAGGTACTCGAAAAGTGAGAGCCCAAAGATATTAAAAGATATTTGAATAATGTTTCGAATAAAATAATTAGTTCCGTCTAGCACTGTAATCTTACAGTACTAGTCAATTGCTCACAAAATAATAACAAGAATTGATAAACTCAAAAGAGAATATAAACAAACAAAACAAATCGTCAGCAAATAGGTGAGGACATAGTCCATGTTTCGATATTGCGAAATTTTTATTTACAATTAAATTTTAATATTTGAAAATTTTTGACAAGAAAAAATGCTTGATAAAATTTTCAATTTCTATTTTTCTTCAAATTTTCCTAAATACGAAAATTCTCTTGCCGTAATTTAGTGACATCTACCGGTACTACAGGTAAAATAAATTACGTAAAAAGTTATGTCAATTTTATTCAAGTTGAACATTGCATCAGCTTAAATGTCATGACTCTAGAGAAAGATTCTTACGCAAGAATGATTGTCCTCTGAAGAAAAAACATGTAAAATCGTTAATCACATATGAAAGATCATCAGTGTATGTAGAGAGTAAAACGTTAGGATGATCATTTCGACCGTCAGAAATAACCTTTCAATCAGCTATAGAATATTTTAATACTGCATTAAGTTTGACCGTATTTTGTCGTAAATCGTCATCTTGCTTTATGGTAACATGAGAACTAGCGCCGTACCAGCGTCAATTTTTGCTATTTTAGGGATGGTATTTTGGACCTAGAAGATTCATAACGACTAGATATTTAATTTCATTCATAGATCCGACATCACACTTAATATTTTGAAAAAAATAATAAAAAAGACTGTTAAAGAATCAGAATTACCAGTTTATTGGAATCAGCATCTTTCGATTCTGCCGTCATGTCTAATGAATGTACTAAGCCATTTGTCAGCAGTGCCTTTTCAGATATTCTGTGATCAGTATGTCATAGGATTTTGGTTATGCACTCTTCCAAGTATTGTTTTCGTACATAGATACTTACTAGGTATTCACTTAGACATCTCTGTTCAGGTTCTATAGCTTTCTATGAAAAAATTTTCAACACGTTAATAGATTGAACATTTAGAAGCACTTTGTAGTCAAATGTTAAAAACACATAGAGTGCCTCAAGGTTGCTGTAACATACTATTATTCATTTCAAAATAAAAAAAGAGTGAGTATTTTTGCAATGATTTTTAATATGAACAAGATAAAGATCTATGATTTTCACTGTGTTTAAAAGATGATGCAAAACTGCATCGATTCGTGTATATCAGAGTTTTTTTTTGGACAAGTCTTCTCAGAATCTTCCGGCAAGTTTTAAAAAAATTCAAGGCTTTTAAATAGATTTATAAGGTAGATTTTTTGTCGAAACAATCAGAAGAAAGTCAATTTTTGTGGAAAATCTGCTGATAATACGTAGTAACATGTTTATAATTCATGATTGGCTAAACCTTGCAACATCGGACTTACATAATTTATAGATCTTTAATTAATGACTGTAATGTACTCCTAAACATTAAAATTCTATAACTTTACATTAAACAATGTGTGATTTTTACTATATTTGATGACAGACCCCAAAAAAACTTCTCAGAAAAATTTGGTATGTATCATTCGATGTAGTTCTGTCTCGTCTTTTAAACAATGAAAAACACAGATCTCTATCTTATTCTTATCAAGAGTTATTCCAAAAATATTCATCCTTCTTTTATTTTGAAATCGATAATAGAGTAGCAGGGTATCCTAACTTCAGTATATTTACTAGGGATTATTCTTGTAATTCATTTCTTACTCTTGATGATGTTTCGATAAATGGATTAAAATTTAAAAGATATATACAAGATTGGATGATATATATATATATAAGACTTGAATATTATCTTCAGTTAACACGTTTCTTCAGCATTCGAATCTGTCTGGTACGATCATGACGTACGACTTTCACTTCCTATTTAACTATGATTCTTTTTTATCAGAATTATTTGTTGATAAAGTGACTCACGAAATTACACAATTACTCAAATAAAATTCGTGTTTCGGAAGTCACAAAAAGCTCACTTGATTCTTATTGTCGGCTGAATAACAATGATTCATATTGAACAATATAATTACTTCTTTAAAATAAATAAAGACCCGTTTAGGTTTTTTAGAATCGCTATAATCATATATGAATGATAAATGATATTGGACGAACATCATCATTCTTACAGAAAAAAAACAATGAATTAGCAATCAATTTAAGTGTTGTTGCAAACGATGACAAGTAGACAAGCATTCTATCTCAAAACTCATAGCACTTTTTCCTATCGATAATCTAATTGATTAAAATTATTAAGATATGTAATATTGTATGTAATCAGAAGGATTTAAAAACTGAATTTTCACATTTGTGAACTTATTACTAATGTTCCGAATAAGATGAAACACACGTAAAAAAGGATTCACCCAAAAAATGAAAATCCAACGAAATGATTTTCAATATGAATTACTAAAATATTATGCATACAATTATCACATTTTCTATGTTCTTATTTTATTTTTGTCGTCGATTTATATTGAGACACGGCATACCAACTGTAGTTTATTTATGCGTGTGCACATTAAATGAGTATTTTTGTACTTGCATAATATGATAAAAAAATTGATGTATGAATCAATAGTGACGATTTTAATTACACTTTGCATCGTTCTGAATGGTAAACAAATACATATAACACTCATTATATTCTAATAAAATAGTAATGAAATTCAATG